AGAAAAAAAAACTGGATATGCTCTTTTCTGGTGCTTTTTTATATTTATTATCTTCCCTTAGGATGATATAACTGCAAAAATATGATATTAAATTTATTATAAAAAATATAGTTGATTTGTACATTGTGAAATTACTGATAATTTTCTAGCATTATTGCTAGCTATTTCTAGCATTATTATGTGTGGTTTGTATCAAGCATAGGTGACTCAATTTTCTCTTAAACAAATGTATATATATATATATATATATATATATATATATATATATATATATATATATATAGTAAAAACAGTCCTAACAGTGCATTGCTACATCAATAAAAAATTGATCAGTATTACAGAAATTGTATTGAATGCAACGTCGTATATAGAAAAAAAAATTACGTAAATATAAAAATTTATATCCCACCAACAGAAGGATTTTGAGCGGAAACACATTATCAAAAATTGTAATCACAATCTCATAATTTATGTACACGTTCGTTGACTTCCTTGTTTGCATAAACTTATAGAGAAATTAATTTGCAAAATATGGAAGTTCTTTATATAATCTTCAGCAATTACACCTACATTGGCGTAGGTACAATATATATTGTAGGAACGACGACTGTGGAAATGAATGATGCACGACTAAACGATTGTGTTACTAGAAGAAACAGAATCAGGGCGCGTCAACCTTTCCAAGGCGTTTAAATTGCTTAGATCAATGATTTATTAATGTCAAAAGTAGCGTAATGAAAAATGATAGACTAAAATACATATTTATTTATTTATTGTTGAACAAGTCAGTGACAATATGAATATATATCATTTCAGGTTCTCATCAGTCTCACTCAAAATTAATAACCAATTGTTAACACTATTTTGTGTATCTAATTCCAAAAATGTGCGTCAAGATTAAATCCAGTAAATATAATACTATGTTCTAAATTCAGCTCTCCATATTAATGTGAAATTCAATATCCAATCAAAAATTAAGCAATTGAAAAATGAGAAAAAATGAGATGAATGAAATGAAAAAAAAATTAATTATAATTAAATTATATATATATATATATATATATATATATCACAAATAATATAGAAAATATTCAGAATTTTTATTTAATATCATTTTCAATATTCAGAATGTTTAGTCAATTTTCAGTATTGTATTGTATTGTCAATATTAAATAACTATTGATTACAACTTGTGAATAAATAAAGTAAAGCAATTTGTTTGGGTAAACTTCAAAGTTAAATGTTAAAAATATTTTAATAATCTGTATTAAATTCGCCATATTTAAAAAGAAAATCTTATCAAACATCAGAATTAGTTCTCAGTTCATATTCACTAGCAATTGAAATTTATTTTGTATTCTATTGCAAGTATATGTCAATAATTCAAAGTTTATTTATAATATCCTGATTTATGGCTAATATTTTGAGTTCTTTCTTTTATTGGAAGGCACTGAAGACATATATAATAAAAATACAACAATGTGTAGATAAGAAATTAAATATATTGGATGGAATTCTAGAAATAAAAAAGAGCGTTACCTCATTTTAAATGTTAAATCATGAAAGTGAGCCAAATAAATTTTTGCATTCCAAAACTATCAGAACTTATAAGATTAGCTATTAGCTACGTACGTTGCATCTCAGTCGACAACTCAATGGTTGTCTTATTTCTTTTTGATAAATTTATTAATATTTCGCAACAGACGATGAATATTTTATCGATGCAGCCTTGTGGGGCTATTTTTGCTTGGAAACATACAGCAATCTATTATGCTGAAATAACACTACTGCTTAATATCCGACTGTTCAAAGCGGGTAACGTACCTAAAATTTCTGATTCAAATCCCATAGCACTAACAACTGATCCACAAGAAGCCCAAGCCAAATAAATAAAATAAAGACAAGTGATTTGAGTAGGAAATATATTAAATATAAATATAATAATATAAATAATTCTTAAAATCAGAAAGAGTTTTCCGCACATGCTTAAATAATAAGTTACCAATTTTTCGTAGAAATATAAACATACAAGACACGAAAAACAAATGATTTTTCATAAAGAAACAGCATTAACTGTTGCAAATCTATCCGCCAAAATTTAAAGCATAAAAAACTGAAAAAATAGGTTCTACTACTCTGGTATAAACAAAAATAACGTGTCGAACTATTTCCTTTTGCATAACGAATTTGATTAGCATTTGACCTTCAGCAATAAGATCTTTTTCTCAGAATAATCAAGAGACGTTACGCTAGAAAAAAATGTCTAAAGGTATTTCATTAGCAAATAAAGTAAAAAAACGAGTCGTCACCAAATATAATTCTTTTTTTTTAATTAATAATGATGTATCTTAATTTCACTTCAAGATGTTCGTAATCACTAATGCATATAAAATGGCATATACAACATATCAAACTAATACAGAAAATTAACAAAATTTGCATAAAATACCAGATAAATCAGTGTTTCTCAACATGCACCGCAATTATAATCACTAGATGCATTTATGACAATTACTCATATCGTACGAATATGATGTTTAAATTGAAGTGTATATATATATATATATATATATATATATATATATATATATATATATATATATTTCATTGAGCAAGTACAGTAAAAATGGAACTATGTATATTTTAGTAATATCAAATTAAAATACAAGTCATAGTTCAAATCTTATCTCCAAATTTTAAACTACATTTTTCATTGCATCCATTTTCGGCCTGTTAGTTTTTTGTTTCATGGAAAATTTTATGTGGTAAAACAATTAGGTTATTCCTTAAATCTTAAGACGTAATTTATGTACCTTATAAGTATTCCCGTTAATAATACATGTGACGTATTCTAATTTATGCAATAAAAATTTGAATATGTGACATCAATTCGAAGCCAAAATGCCAAATAAAAAATGTGAATATACAAACATTCATGGGTGTACACAAAAATGTACTTATAAATAAACATAGTATGTAAATAACGATATTCGGTTAGCTTTTTTTAATGAGATTGAATATATATCTAGTTTTTGATTATGTAAGAAAAAACGCGGATTTACCAAATCTGTGGTATACTTATTAAAAAGAAGCGATCGCAGCCGTAAAAATTACTAATTTAGTAATCATATATTATATATACGAGTATATATATATATATATATATATATGAATATATATATATATATATATATATTCTTGAAAATAATAATAACATTCAAGAAAATGTCTCAACGTCGAACAATATGTATAAATTCGAATAATTTTGCTAAAATATATAATTACATTTTTTAACAGCATAATCTGTTGTGATTATAATTTTGCTAATGGCTATTAGAAGGCAACCCAGTGGTTGTTCTATATTTAATATAATTTTATTAGTAATACGTAAATTATAAACATTTTGACACGGACACTACTCTAAACTTTAATGATTTTTTAACATTAAGCCACTTAAGCCCATAATATTTTAGGATGTTCGTTAATACCAATAATCCTGCTACTGTGCAAAGTTTCATTAATTAATAAAAACATTATTGAATAAACAAATAATTCATTCGCTTTTTCTAATAAAAACTTATGCTAATAAAAAAAACTTCATAAAAAACCGCTTGGCCGATTATTGTACTAGACTGATCAAATGTTCGAATTTTTGAAGGTCAAAAATCGGCTCACATACACTTTTTTTATCACATATATTAGTTTTTTCAAATTTGATCTCAAAAGATTTAGAATGACTTCAATAAAACAGGAAAAGTCGATTTTACTGGCGAAAACATGAACATCTTTAAATATGCATAAACTTAATTAAATTTCAAAAAGTAGAAAATGCCTTATCAGGTTTTGTTATAGGGCAAGCTAATAGTAAAATCCAATCACTAAACGTTACATTACCAATACTTCCCTAATTGTTTGATTAAGTTAAATATATAGGTAATATTTGATCAAAAAATGATGGCTGCGATCTCGATAATTATTTCAGCTATATCAATCGTTGATGTATTTAAATACTTAATTAATAGTAATAGCACCTGTTCAAATACAGGTGTTGATTTATTAATAAAATATAAAGGCTTTTTGGTGATTATTTTTACCAATTAAAGTTCGTTCATTTATATCTTATTATAAATGAAATAAAAATATTTTTAAGAAGACAAATAATCAATATTCAAAAAAACCGTCACATCGCTAAGTCGTCGTACCCAAAGATCACATGTAAACATCTGATTTTCAAATTGTGCAGATATTTGAAAACCTAGAGGAAAAAATGCACCGACGTTCACTGTCAATCATTTGACCCATAAAGCGTCAAACGCCGCATAAATTACAGCAGCTGAGCGGCATTGACGCTTATTGAACCAATAGCCTGTAAAATTGATTCGCGGATGAGTTGACATTCGAGTTGGATTGGACATTGAACTATACAGAACAAATATTAGGATCTTTACTGGCTTCATAATAGACTTAGCGACTCCATAAGATAGTGAGTCATTCATATTGATAATAGATGAAGACTTTCATTTCATTTGAAAATTGTAATAACGATAGTGACCAGTTGTCACATATAACCCTTGTGCTTCAACACAAATTGTGAGAGCATTGTGATTGCATTGAAGCAATTATTATTTGAAATTTGTATATATATTTAAAAAAATGAGGCCTTTAAAAAACTTCGAAGATTGTAGGTGTAGAACAGCCGTTTGTCCTAGTAGTAGTTCGATGCAAAAATTCAAAATCTTAAAACTTCTAGCGTACTATCAGTATACAAATAAAATTGGTTTTTCATATTATTAACAATATTTTTTCATTATTATTCCGTTTTACTTTATGTATTATTATCCAATTCAAACTAGTAAAAAATGATTTCGATTTCTTTACACTTCATACAGTTTCATGCGGATAGTTAAAATGCCGACGTATTCACTTCATATTTTTAATGTCAAAATTCATAACAAGAGAAAATTGCTACAAATTTTTCTGATTATGAGTTAATTCCTCACCTTAAGGAAAACGCCAAGTACAGCTAATCCGTCAGGCATACCAGCGGCTTCTGTAAACGTTTCGTATTTATTCTTGTTCCAATGGACAAGGTGGAGCTCTCCGGAGAAGCTTTTTCCATCAACAGTGTGTTCGGAACCTCTGCCATCTGAGCATCCCCAATGACAGTGGAACTGTTCCAAAGAATAGACATCGTGCAAAGGACCTCCTTGGAGTTCTGCAAATAATAAAAAAAATGAGGATTACATGTTGATTCGAAAGATCTTTACTAATTTCACATCCCATCAAAAAAACATATATGATAAAGTATATAACGATAAAATACTACGTTAAGTAGGGTAGATATAGTAATGGGCCGAAAATCGAAAATGAAAATTTTTGCATTTCTCAATATTCTGAAGGTTTCTGAACATTTTGGCATACCTCAGCAAAAATGGATGTGTGTGTGTTTTGTTTGTGCGCATTTTTTCGTTCACGGATCAACCGATTTGAATGGTTCAAAAACATTCGATTCCGTCAAAGGTAAGTCCAGCCATTACGGAGATAAAGAGCAAAGAGTGCAGAAAATGAAAATCGAGTTTTTGAGAGAACGGAGCATCCGATTTGAATGTGTCTAAAAAACATTCAATTAGTAATGCAGGCAGGCCCAGTCATTTCGAAGATGCAGAGCTAAATATACAAAAAATGACAGTTTTTGAGAGAAATAAGCATCTGAAATAAATGATTCAAAAAACTTTCTGCTTGTATTAACAAAACAATTGTTTTTGGAAAAAAAAATTCACTTCAATTTTTTATCTTTTTTTTTGTATATCGAAAATAATTCAGATTTCAATTTTAATTCTGGCTTAAGTTTTAAAGCTCACTTATATACTTTAAATAAATATTTTTGACTTTGTGATTCACTTTATATAATTCTTATAAATATTATACAATGTTACAGTATTTATAATAATCTATTTGAAAGTATTTAATATACCTCGAACATTTCGTTACGGTTCGGAAAGTTCCAGCAATTTGCCTTAAAGCACGATGCCATACACCACTAGTTTAATTTAATTTTAAATAGTTGGTGATAAAACAAGAACATCCGATCCCATAGGGCCTTAAAAATAATAGAGTATTGCAAAATTACAATAGGTTCGATTCCCGATGTGATCAGATCAATTACTTGATGCGTTCTGAATAAACGAAACAAAATTCTTTTGATGGCCAGCGGTGGCAAAATCGGTTAGATCGTGGGCTAGCACCAACTGGACCCAGGTTCGCTGGTTCGATTCCCGCTACCGCCAAGCCTGACATCAGGCAACTTTGATGTCAAATTTCCACTTGGGGTTATAGATCACAATATAATTCCAAGTGGAAATCGTCCTTCGTGGACATAGTTGCATCATACAATCATATGCACACTATTAGACATAAGAGCTAATATATAAAAACCCCACACATAAGAGAAGGATGAACCGATGGGTTGCTTCTCATATCAATACCATAGGTCATAAGTCACACACAAAAACAGCTTATAGAACAATAATAAAGAGTTCTGATTGTTGTGGAAACAATAAAAAAAATAAAAAAATGGGTCAAGAATAACTTGCTGCACAATAATGCGCTAGTTCATTGATAATTCTTTTATTATCGATTATTCGATTAAGAATGACATTTTACTGGTCGGCTGCCATGCATCTCGTAAGTTGTATTTGTTTATGAAAGAAATACATTATATAAACAAGAAGCTATCTAAATCGACATTCTGAACGACATCCGCTCAATGGAATTGAATTGGCATTCGATATGTTTTTGAATCGTGTAAAAACTCGTATCCGGCGGTATTTTAAATTAATAAACTAAAAAATTCCAAAACAAACTCTTTCGTGATAATAATTCTCGTTTTCTAGTTTAAAACTGAAATAAATTTCATTTCATGATAAATGAAAGCTGAACTGTGTGGTTGTGTCAGGAAGTCAAACATAGTTAAACAATATTTCGGAACACATAGAAAGTAAATAAAATTTACACTTATTATTGAAAACTCTATAAAATATCTAATAATTTGATGTGCATATGTCTAAAGATCATTTTTGACCGCCAAATGACATTTTTTTACATTTTTTACTAGATCTTGGAAACCGCTAGACCTGTCTTCCCAAAAATTTTGTACAAGTACAGTACAAGTAATATGTTTTTTGAATTATTGAAATCGAACGCTCCGTTCTCTTAAAAACTAAATTACCATTTTCGACACTTTTTGCCCTGTATCTTCGAGACGACTAGCCTGCCTTTGCCAAAAAGTAATCACCACGTCTCCTCCTTATTAATAAGAATCGAATGTTTTTTGAATTATTCAAATCGGTTGATTCGTGTTCCCGTTCATTTTCGATTTTTTGCGCTTACTATACATACCCGACGGAAAGTTAATTAAAATATGATATTGATAGGAAAGCAATTGATATTAGTTGTTATTTATATATTGGTTAATATTTTCACGTGACAAAATCTTTTAATTAATAATATGCAATGCTTATCTAGTAAACAAATAATGACTATTGTAAACTTATGAGACTATGAAAATTATCACATACGATCCATAATACCCTATTAAGATAAGGATACGTCAATATGTCTAGTTTTAAGATGTAAAAAATGTATTTGACTTAAAATGTAAACAGATAAATCTCTAATGATGAATATCTCTAATGATATCGATAACAATGATAAATGTAAATAGATAAATTGGGAAATTAAAGCCAAATGAAGCATTATTAAGCTCATATGATGTGATATGAAATTAAGTAAATAATAGTATAAAATTTTATTTATATAAAAAATGAAAATAATAAATTACTTGGATTAACAGGTGGGGCTCATGGCATAAAGCTTCTCATGCATCTTCATTGAAATTCTACGATTCTAGATCAATTAAAATTGCAAGCAAATAAGGCATTAGACCTGCAACCCACAGCTTTACACGCCTATGTGTAAAATGAAGCACGTGACAAATCTTTGACAAAAAGCAAAAAAACGCCTTTCTACAATGATGAGTTTATTTGATATTTGTTATTTGTTGTGATATAATTGGTTTGGTTTTCACATTATAAATGTACAATTTCAAATTGGACCTATGTACCCCGCCCTTTGCTAAATGCATACATTCCACATACATTTTTAATAATAAAGTAAATAAAAATAATAAATAAAACCCCATAAACGTGAGTCTTATTTCGGCAAGTTTTAATAAGATCGACATGCACTTTATCCATCCATGTATTGGTTCGGTTCCCTTGATATAATTTTGTCATTATGTAGTAATGTGATATTTCTTACGATTACCATGATCAATAATAACATCAATTAATCATAGCATTAAAGTAATTAGGTAGTATCTAAGATGTATCTTTAATATAGGTATATTGTATTCACTCGCCATTATCATATTAGTGATAAATAATGCATAATCTATTTTCAGATAATAATTTGATTACACACTCGGTTATCACCATGTCAATAATATCAGAACTTGTGTGCAAATTAAAACAAATCATTTAGTTAAAATTATTTTACGACGATTAAGAATTAGTTATTAAACTAGATAGATGGAAATATTGATAGAAATAGATAGAATTTTTGCTAAAAACTGCGTTTTATTCTAATAAAACACCAACACTGGATTTCTTTTCAAAATTTTAAATTTTTTTTCCGGTTTAATTTCCTTGCACATGCTTTCAGGTTTTGCTTTCAACCTTCAAACACTCAGTGTCGATGAAGAACTTGTAAAGAAAGTATTTTGAGCAATTTGTCACACGAATCAAGCGAAACGCTGTTGACCTATATATGAGCTAATTTAAGAGCAACATTTGGACAGATTTTCAAAGCTCTACTTTGCCAAAGAATCGTGATCTATGATTTGCATATGATTATGAGAGTCATATTTTATGAAAATGTTGAAGATGTAATGTATCATAAATATTTGGATTATGATTTCAGAGTATGTGCGGGTTTGTTTATTTCTTGCTGCGAAAATAAGACGTGACTTGTTGATGTTGAAGCAGACGCAAAAACCTGTTTTATTTTCGAAATCGCAAAAGTTATATACAAGACTGAATAACATAGGCGTAGCCTGGGGAGAAGGCCCCAAAAATTAGTGTGGCGTAGGATTTATAAAAGAACCGATATTTTAGAAAACCGGTTTTCGACCAGTATTTTTTTGAAAAACGGTTTTAACCGATTCCGAGTTTCGATAATAAAACTAATTGCTTGAATAGTTTGAACAAAACCATTTTAACAGAAAATTTCAAGTGAATTGAGTAAAGTTTTTGAGTAAAATTATTTACTGTTTAATTTTATTGATAATTTTTATGAAATTGAGTAGAACAAATAAATAATAGTTGACCAGGATTAATTAACATTGAAAACAATTAATTATATGTTTATTATGTACAATTTTTACATATAAAATTGGAAATACGATTATCAATTTGCAACAGTGTTTTCACCAAACTGGTACGATTGGCTTTGTTATTTTCATTTTTAAGTGTTATTCACACATTGAAAACTAGTATTTTCTACTAAAAACCGGTTCCAGGATTCCATCATTTCATCCTTTTAAACCGATATGAAAACCCTCTGTGACTTCAACGCATTTTCAACAAATTTTTGAAATTGATATTATATACGTTATTTATTTATAAAATTATTTGACATTATGTGGCCAAGGCTTCATCGTACCTTGGTGGCTAGAGCTTTGAGCTTTCTATCACAAGTTCCAGTCTTAGACAGCCTAATGTTAAACAGTAGTGACATCGGTTTCATTTGGAAATAAAGATGAAAATACATTTTCAAGTGCGAATAGACCTTTGCAACATTGCTGAAATATCATAATTAGAAATGCAACCATATGGTTGCCTCCCAATAGCGTTAAAAAATGAATAAAAACTATCCGTTAGAACAATCGACGGATTTACTTCTATTAGCGTCGCTGCCTAGAATTATATATAGTTCAAAAGAGATAACAAAACACCTAAAAAGTTCTGATTGTTACTAAATTAAAATTTTTAAGAAAATATGTGACCAAATTGTGATTCCTCAAAATTGTGACTACGCCTTTGTATGTTGTTTTTATAAAAAGGCATCTCCATAAATGGCCAGCATTTTGTTATTTCAATAACGGCCTTTATACAGTTTTTACAAAGACGCAAATGGGATTTTTTAGATAGATAAAAA